CAATGTAATTTAATGCTTTGTGTAATGTAATTTAATGCTTTGTGTAATGTAATTTAATGCTTTGTGTAATGTACTATTAAAAACTATTACATATTTAGTTACCTTTCTTCAGTACACTTGTAAATGGAATTGTAATTTAAATACTTAAAATAAATTTGATAATTAAAAATTGTACAATTTAATGCTTTGGGCAAATGTAATTTAATGCTTTGACCAATGTAATTTAATGCTTTGTGTAATGTAATTTAATGCTTTGTGTAATGTAATTTAATGCTTTGTGTAATGTACTATTAAAAACTATTACATATTCAGTTACCTTTCTTCAGTACACTTGTAAATGGAATTGTAATTTAAATACTTAAAATAAATTTGATAATAAAAAATGGCACAATTTAATGCTTTGGGTAATGTAATTTAATGTTTCGTGTAATGTAATTTAATGCTTTGTGTAATGTACTATTACATATTTAGTTACCTTTCTTCAGTATATTTGTAAATGGAATTGTAATTTAAATACTTAAAATAAATTTGATAATTAAAAACTGTACAATTTAATGCTTTGGCCAATGTAATTTAATGCTTTGTGTAATGTAATATTAAAACTATTGCGTATTTAGTTACCTTTCTTCAGTACACTTGTAAATGGAATTGTAATTTAAATAGTTAAAATAAATTTGATAATTATAAATTTTGCAATTTAATGCTTTGTGCAATGAAAAAAGAAACAAAAAACGAAAACAAAAAAGGTGATTTGAAATGACTCAGGGAAATCTAAACTTTAATTTCGATTAATTATTAATAATATTAATTTGATAAATGCGATTTATTTTAATATGTTGTTTAATTCGGGAGGAAAAATTATAAATTGCCATTGGTTTTGCTATACCTATATTAGAAAAATACATGGAAAAAAATCAGAAAATTTTGCACATGCAATCGCTACATAAAAGTTGTTATATCTGTGATTTGAGTAGAAATTGCAATTGGTTTTAGTATTTATAAAGTGGACGGATGCATCAAAATATAATTAAAATACTTTTCCTAATGAATATTATCCCAACGAATTATCCGTGCTCAAGTGATGTAATATCTATGATGAAGATAGATAGAAAATGTATTTTGTATTAGTATTCTTAAAGTAGATGAATGGATAGAAGCACAATTAGAACTCTTTGTGATATACTTGAACTTTCTCTGCATAATTTTTTTTATATCTTTAATGGCAGTGAATAAAAATTGCTGTTGGTCTTAGCATTTTTAAAGGGAAAGGATAAATGGAAATATAATTCGAAAACTTTGTACTAGTATAAATGTAATATCAATGAATTATTTTTAAAATCGAGGATTTAAGTAAAGTAATTTTGTCATTTAAAAAAAAATACGCACATCGTATATAAACAACAATAGATGAGAAAACTTTCAGAGATCTGCATTAAACCAAATTAACTTATATTTCTAAGGGAATTTTTTAAAACACAATTATTTATTAATTTATTTCAAACATAAATGATAAAAATTGTTTAAAAATTAGCATATTTTTAAATACATACTTTCTGGATCAAAATTCATTTACGCAACTAATTTTTGATTTTGTTTACATGTATACTTAAATGTAAAAATTACACCATCTTAAGAAAACACTGATTAAATAGGTGATATACGTCCATAGACTCTTACCATGAAGTAAATAGATTTCGATCGAATTATTTCTTTTGAAAAACACATCGGTGCGTTTTTGACTTATTGAGATTTAAGATTAGTAACAGTAATTAACTTGATAAAAGATCTCTGATGTTTGTATATGTCTTTCATAAATATTTTTGATAGAAACTGAATCAAGCAAAAATAGTGCAAATATAAAAAAAAAACCCTGTAAAAATGCCTAGAAATTATCTCTGATATGCATGCTTTTTTTATTACTTCGTTTTCGAAAAGGATTCTAAAAATATACATCCAGCACGATAATTATGGAACACTATGTATAGCGTTTATAGGTAAGAGACTTACTTGCATCTACAATCAGATAGCAAGTTTTATGTAGAGCACCGCTGTAGAACTCAAGACCAATGATGGCAAATATCACGATGGCAAAAAGCACCAGAAGGCCAATTTGAAGTAGTGGGGCCATCGCTTTGATGATGGACTTGAGCACGACTTGGAGACCTGTAAAAAGTATGCAATTAAGTATTATGCAAGTCGGCAGGATGTTATAAAGCGTGTTTAGAAAAAAAAATACTTGTTTATGTAAGTAAAATAATTGAACGATAAAAAGTACTAAATTATTCTGCTAGTTTTGGTTTAATGGACACTAATTGTGTGAGTTTGGATAGCTTTGAGTCCTTTGAGTAAAGCACAACATAAAATTTTTTGTGCGGCTGTGGTTAAGCAGCAAGGGAATGAAAATGTTTACATAGGAATTTCGCTTATTTTTATTATACTAGAAGCTCTTATATTTAGTCCTTATTGCGACATTATTCTGTCTCACTGAAACATTTTTGCATTTCAAAGTCAATCACTGTTTTTCAAAATATTTTATATTGAGAGTAAATTTTTTTTAAAAAGAAAAATTAGTTTTAAGTGATAAGGCAGTTCAAGCATCAAGCTATTGAGAAATTTCGTACATCCATGCTAGATTCCGTAAGCTCATGTACGTAAGATTTAGAACAACAACATCTCATGTTCACGGTTATTTTATTTTATTATTATTTTTTTTTAGATTCTACGCATTTTTACGTTTTGTTGGCTTAGGTGTATAAAGCTACAAGAACGCCGTTCAAAGCTGTTAAATTTTGTATTTTGTTTAAGCCTACCTTCGAATTAACAACATGGCAACATGGACGTGTGACATGGACGTTAGATTAAAAAGAATTCCAACAAAAATGAAGGTGGAGGATTCATTAACACAAAATGAATCGAGTCATGCTATAAAAATTGGTTGTATTGATAAAAAAAAATATTGGTTTTAGTTTAAAATTATTGTTCCCTAATTGCAATAGGTTCGTAAAAAACTATTTCTGCATTATTTAGAATTATATATTACATTTACTTTAATTATGTAATTTAGTTTGAAGAGGAAGTACGTCTATATTATCCATGTTAATTGTAAATGTTTGTCTTAATTTTGTGGCCGAAGCTGAGATGATATTTTACAGCGTTATGGTTTTTAACTTACGGGTTTTTACAAAATTTCCTACTTTTATTCACGCAAGTTTAATAGTTTTTTTCTCGTTCACATGTGTATTTTTCATGCGCAATAATTTACGTACAATAACTTACGTAAAATCAATGCACAATAACTTACGTAAAATCAATGCACAATAACTTACGTAGAATCAATGTGCAATTACTTACGTAAAATCTTACGTACGGGAGCGTGCGGCATGAAACGTAAGAGTGCAAAATTTCCCTCTTTTGCCTGGACAGCCACTTACTTCAATTATTCAGATTGCAATTCAATTATTTAGATTATTTAGGGTTTTAAGCCTATGAGTTTTTGGAAAGAATTGTTTAATTGTAAAGATTGCTTTCGAATGGAATGCACTTTTTAAATTTAAACTGGTGAACTGGAACCTAATCAAATTTAAAACATCAAACGGATTCTTACATTATTATTCTTGCTACGTCAAAGAGTTTAATTCAAATGACTTGAATTAAAATTTTTTTCAATGATAATACACAATTTCATGAAATTTATTGATGGAGTTTCAATAGAAAGCTTGAAGGGAATAATAAATCGACGATGTCAACCAACATCTATCAAAAGGTACTTCAAGTTAGAATCGAGTTAACATGTCTTATATACTAGTGAATTGGTATTTAATATTTATGGTGGTAGTTACACCACATTACTCCCCTTCCTGAATTTTATCTGAGATAGAATTCGATGAACGGATACCACTAGTTGATTCATGCTGTTTATTTATATAAATTTTTGCTCATTATATTTTTTCCTTAATTTTTTGTTCACAGCATTTCTCTCATTATTATTATTTTTTTCATTTTTTTCTTTATAACATTCTGCTCACTATATATTTTTTCTTCATTTTCGTTTATTGATCGGGAGACTTTAATTACTTCACCGGATTTTTTTTTCTTTGAGCAATATATATTTTTTAAGCAAATCAACTGTTTTATTGTGGATCATTCATCATTATTGGCAAGTTCATATTCCGCAGGTAACCAATGAGGTGAATTATAAATCGACTATGCCAACCTTCATCTATCAAAAGATACCTCAAGATAGAATCAAGTTAACATGTCTTATATACTAGTGAATTGGTATTCAATATTTATAGTGGTAGTTACGCCACAAGCTTTAAGGAAATACATTGTAATAGTTTACTTACTGGGAATCCCAGAAACCAATTTGAGTGGTCGCAAAACACGTATAGCTCGCAATGTACGCAGATCTACATCTATTTCGCCACCCTCCATAAAATTCGAAATGAACCTGAAAGAAGTCAGATATCTAGCTACTAAAAGAATTCTATAAAATCATGCAAGATTTCATTCGAATCACTTTTTTTATTAAATATTATATCATACTATTAGATTCTACAGAAAAGTGTTCAGCAGTAATAAATGGAAAGTGTTTTTTTAAAGATATATGTATAATTTTATTAAATAGGATTCTATGTTGCAGATGATGATACAAAATTTGAATGGGTTAATATTTAAATGAGAAAAAAATTATCTCTTCGTTGTAATAGAAAAACAAAAATGAAACTTTTTATGTAAGATCTATGAAAAGCTGTTAACAAATCTATTTAGTGAGTTATTATTACTATCATTCGTCGCGAGATTAAAAACGAATTGCTTAGAGAATAACTAATTCATAGTGTCAATTTTAATGAAGCTTTATAGTGAATTACATTTAGGGATTCACTCAGGTAAAAAAAAAAATCACAAATATACCTAACACTAGTTGAATAATTTTCTCAAGAAAAATAAAATTAAGAAAAAACCGAAAGTTTTTTTTAAAATTTTAATTATTTGTACCCGAAAATCTCGTTTTTCCTTTAGTCTTATAGTATTGAGGGTGACGAAAAATAATGTTGTGTAATACTGAGTCTTCTTATTTAAAACATCGTGCCAGTTAAATTAATGTAAAAAACATTATATTGCAGCTATTTCAAACCTTGTTTATAAGATTAATGTTTTTGGTTGCAGTTTAAACTTATCGATATCTAAAAGAGGCAGTATATACGATAACTGTATCAATCATGAAGTTTTTATCATAGATTTGATCTACTGTATGTTGTAACAATGTTGCAATGCTATTGTAATTTATTGTAATAATCATAATGTTGTAGAAAATATTAAAAGCAGAATACTGAAATCCACTTTTAATTTATAGAAGACTAGGTACTGTGCAGATTGGAATTATAATACGGCTGCTTATACCATAGAGTTCCTGTGTCCAAGCGTAGCCTAGAGAGTTACAACGCACAGTCTGGGATTGGTTAAGAGTCTAAATTTAGGAAAAAGAAACAAAATAAAAAATTTCCCATAGACTTAACTGCATCTACGAGATCAACTGCATTTACGAGATATCTTAAACCGATGAAATCACCAAATTATAGATTTGTATATATTTCTCAGTCTATAATATTTATCTTAACTATAAAAATAGAATACTGAAACCCAATTTTAGTATATAGAAGACTAGGTACTGTGCAGATTTGAATTATATTGAAATACCGGCTGCTTATACCATAGAATTCCTATATCCAAGCGTAGCTTAGAGAGTTACGACTCACTGTCTGGGATTGGTTAAGAGTCCAAATTTAGGAAAAAAAGCGAAATAAAAAATTTCCCATAGACTTAACTCGAACTGCATCGACGAGATATCTTTAACCGATGAAATCGACAAATTATAGATTTGTATATATTTCTCTGCTTATAATATTTATCTTAACTATTTCAAGTATCGATTGTACGCAAAAGTAATGCTACATATTTATTGATATTTTGAGAAATAATTAGATTTTCAAAACTATAATTATGCTTGCACTTGTTTCTGTTGATGTGATTGCATGGCAAAATTACGTTATTATAGGCAGAATTTTTTAAAAAAATATTAAAGTAGTATTGGCAAATATCATTGGTAGAATTAATGGACTTATGGCTCATTTTGCTTTCTAGCTCTTCTTTGAAAAAATGAAAAAAAAGGAAACTTCATAGGTTTTTGGCAGACATTATTGGCAGATACCATTGGCAGATATTTTGGTAGAATAAAATGATTTCATCCTAGAATGTTTTAAATTTTTTTCCTGTTCTTTTGCTGCTTCAAAACTGCTCTTTCTCCTATGCAAACTATTAAGAATTATTAAAACTAAAATAAGTTTTAAATTATTCTGCTTAATTAACTCATGTGCAAAAACGGTGCGTAAATTAATAAGTATAATTAAAACCAAATTACAACACGGTTTGTTAGTTTACATGAAATGTTCGCTTTTAAATTTTCATTTCTGCTTAATTTATAAATCAGTTTGCTTTTTAGTTCTTCTTTGACAAAATGAAAAAAAAGAAACTTCATAAATTTTTTTTCTGAAGTTACAAGTCTCTTAACTTGTTAAAAAACTAAAGGAAATGTAGTTATGATTTGACGCGGAGCAAAAAATTGAGGTTTGAGATAAAATTCGCCAAAATTGAGAAAAGGATTTTTTTTCACGTCTCTAATCTGAGCAGTTAAAAAGCTGCTTGTTGTTACTTTCTCTAGAAATAAGAAATCGACACGACACTTTATTCAAACTGAACACTTTTCTACTACCAATCTCATGAATTAAGTAATACATAAAAAGCAAATTCAAACAATACTACTTTATCTATGACTAATATACTAACTAAAAAAGCATTCAAGAGTATCTAAAGAATTATCTACTATCATTTCATCTAAATTTTTGGTCTACATATGCTCTAAACTTATGAAACACCACAACCACAACACTGAAGAACTTCTAGATAGGTCTAAAGTTTCTATAAAGTCAACAGATTGATACATTCTCTCAATAAAATAGAGCTTTTATTATTACATTTAGATATTGTTTCAAACTCTAATAACACTTACCATTTTGTTTAATATAGAATGTTTAGAAGATGTCGTAGTTCAGTGTTCTACCTCAACCAATGCTACAACCCAAAGTACATTATACATAGTAAAAGTGAACAAAAAATTTGGATTTAAGAACTATTTAAATAATTTTGAGTAATAAATAATAAAAAAAGAATATAAATTTATTATCAGGGAAAATGACAGAGTTTATCATAATAGATAAATAAGATAAATTACCATGTTGTATTATATAGATTGCTTAGAAGATGCAGTACTTCAGTGTTCTACCTCAACCAATGCTACAACCCAAAGTACATTATACATAGTAAGAGGGAACATTAAAAATTTGAATTTAAAAATTATTTAAGTAATTTAGAATAATAAATGATGAAAAAAGAATATAAATTTGATATCTGAAAAAAATGACAGGGTATATAATAATAGATAAATAAGGGTACATAATGATCGATAAATAAAAAGGAATATAAAATTTTGAATTTCTCTTTCGAGCTGTAGCTGTTTAGAGCGTAGGTTTCAAGATATATGCTTCTTTTTTACTAGCAAATTATTTTTGTTCGTAAAATTTCTAATACATATTTTAATGTTTATATTTTGCTTAGTTGTTTTAAATAAATAATAATAAAATTACAAACTTTCATTAAAAAAAATCAAATTATTTAAAATTTCCATAAGTTGTCATACTTTGATACAAAAGTTATATACCAGATGACACAGCTTTACTTTTGATATAAGTTACACAGAAAATAGCTAAATTATCAATAAATTGTTTAAAATAATTTTTTAAGCCATTTCTGCATTATTTAAAGAGGATTGAAAATCAGAAAATAGTTTTAAGAAACAGGGTAGAGGCATTAATTTTTTAAATCATATTAATATTTTTAATTTGTTACTCAAAACCGAGTGCAAAAAGTTTAGTAGAGAATGATTTATCATTAAATCAAATTTTTCAAAAATTATGTAAACATCTACATAACACAGTGTATTTTATTTTTTAAATAAATACATTATGAAAAATGTTCAAAGATTTAATTTTAAAAACAAAATATTTTATCTTTGAATATGATTTACTTTAAAACCGTGCATTAATAATTTTATTCAATTATTAATTATTTGCGGGTATCTATCCTTTATAAGTAACTAACATTTAATGAATAAATAGATAAAGAGTAGACAAATGAGATATCAACTAAAACTGTGATTTACTTATATTGCAAAATACTTAAAAAAAATTATAAAATTATATTAAATGAATATTAAATAGTGAATGTATTATCTAAAGTGAATATTTTCCTTGATATAACTTAAGTGAAATAGAATTAAAAATTACCTTTAAAACGGAATATTAATAAAATTTATGCGCACATTTACTTTTCAAAGGTTATTTAATATTTAAGAATTTACCTTTTAAAAATAAATGAAATTTAATGGAATGCATTAGAATAAATCAATTGTCTACTGATGTTAAAAAATATAGTAAAATATATATTTTAATATTAGCAGACCAGTAGACAAGTGATAATTTTTTGTCATCATTGGAATTTTTTTTTACATGAAGTGATCCAAAAGAATTGTTATATCATAATGATATCTGTAACCAAATGCATGACGTATTCAATAGAAACAAGTAAGCTTTTGTGATAAGTGTCCAAAATATGGTTTGATACATTTCATATGAAACTTTTGTGATACATTCTTCCAGAAGATTCTGGCATTGACAATTTTGTCGGAATAAGTTTTGAAGTTTTAATTCATCAAGAATTGGATGCATTCCAAACGTAATACATTTTTTGGCAGAATGTCCTTGTTCGAAGTTATAAAAAATAATCTGAGATTTAAAAGAAATTATTCTAATAAATATTTTCAATGATCCTATTTTAAAGAGATGCTGTTCAGTACTTTAAAATCTGATAGCAATTCATTTCTAATACATGAAAACATCATATTAATTCCTAAATAGTGAAAAAAATATCACTGATCAATTTTTGATTATCAATTTAACTCAAATGGATAATCAAAGTATTTGACTGGCTGGAGGAGTACTGAACTTGGTCCTAATTAATTCAATTAAACTTAATTACAAGTATGAAAAAGTTTCAAGATTCGAGTTTTTTCCAAACCAACAACACCAGCAGGAAATTTGATTATTTTTGTTTGAAAATGAGCTTAAATGAGAATGCTCTTTTAAGAAGCTATGAGTATATGAAAGGCAACAAAAACATATTACAATCTAATTCTGAATACTTTTATTTCCATTCTTAAAGCTTTTGGAAAACAAAAAAATTTATTTGAACTTGAATTTCGTTTTGAAAAATTCTGTTGAAAAGTGATATCGATTACCAAAAAATTTTGATTTCTTAATCATAGACTCTTTTTATTTTTATTCTGATGTTATTATTGATAATGGGTGACATTTAATGAATAGATTTAACTTTCTACTTAACGCTGTTTTGTTAGACAGAATCATTTATATTATTTTCTCGCTATCTCAAGTAGAGCCTTGAGGTCAAGTGCAATCATTACAGGAACTTGTACATATTTTACTTGTAAAAAATAATTCTAATTTGGAACTATTTGTAACAGAGGAAAAATAATGCAAGATCATGAAATTTAATTTCTTGATTCAAAAAGATGGTACAAATAAAATGAATTGATAATAACTTATGCTTTTTTTTTGCCTCGACATTCAATCGATAAACTGTTGTGAAAATTCAGACATTTTTTAATTTTTAAGATATGAGGTATTAATAAAAAGTGAGGAAGGGCGTAAACGCTAGATGATTCATACATATTTATTTCTTTGAGGTACTTATAAAAAGAGAGGAGGTGTGTAAGCGCTTGATGATTCAAACATATTTATTTATTTGAGGTATTTATTAAAAGAGAGGAGGTGTGTAAACGCTTGATGATTCAAACATATTTACTTATTGTATAATTAAATAAAATTTAAGGAAGTTAGATAAAGAAAAATACATACCCCGTAACTACGACGATGAAATCCATGATGTTCCATATGTTTCGCAAGTATGACCCTCTATGAAGTACAAAGCCTAATGCTAAAATCTTAACAGTAGATTCTACGCAAAATATCCCTAAGAAATATTGTTCTGTAAGTTCCTGAGAAAAATTAAGAAAGTGAATTAGATTCAGACATTAATATTGTGCAGCAATACATAGCATACTTCAAATATTTAGTTGACGATAAGGTATTTTTTCGAAGTACAACTGGAAAATAAGTTAGTTTATAACCTATTAGGGGGACTGAAACGTAATGTCGTTTCAGTGCATTTGATATTTGTTATCAATATTTTATTTTTAATCAATAATGTATTCACCCTCGTTAGCAAAGACCTTTCAATGCCGGATTGAAAAGGGATCGAAAAAATGAATTGGTTTTTAAGAACTAACGAATATTTAATGCGCTGAAACGACATTACTTTCCGGTTCCCTTAATATTTTTCTGGAATGGTTTACGTGAGCTCGGGAAATTGAACTATAGAGATTTTGATATGTAGCTTGAATAAGTTCAAAAACACATTTGGGTTCAATAAAAAACAAATAAAACAAACATATATTAGGAAAAAAGAAAAATTGTTATTGCATTACAGTGATTACTGTTTACCATCTGGTCAAATGTTTTTTTTCTGAATAGACTTTCATAAACACCATATCATTTCAAATCTTCGATTGCAAAAACAACCTCTACTGATGTTTGTCTTTCTGTTTTGCAATCGGCTGGATTGATTTTTAATTCCTGTCAATATAAATTTTTTTAAACTTCACTATATTATTTTCCTTCTTCAGTGTTTTTATCCATATTAAAATCGTCTCCAAGACAGAAATTATGAATAAATTAATAAAAAAAAGAGTATAAAATACTTTAAATTAATATTATGTAAAAACATTGAAAATGCATGCACGTTGGTGAAAATTAAAGGAAAAAACTCAAAGAACTTCTAAAATTATCGTCTGATTATTTCTTCATTTCATCTTGTGGTGCTGTTTGTTTTAATTAATGCTTGTGTAAGCCTGATTTTTATAACTCTTACAACTCTTTACTTGAGATTATGGTGCTGAAGTTGATGTAATTGATGAAGTTCAACTAGTCGGAAAGAGTACAGACATGATAAACCTAGAACAACACTCATTTTCCCAATGGGTTCGAAAAATCAACTTTCAGTTCATTAAAAATTTAATAAGCAGCAAAATTTAAATATTTGATTGATGATAAGATTTTTTCTCCAAATACTACTACCAACTTCGCGGGAGCGGGTTAAGTGAGCTTGGTAACTTAAACTACACGTATTTTAATCCGCAGTTTTAATAAACTCTGAAACTTTTTTCAGTTTCCTCAAATATTAAAAAAAAATATTAAAATTAAAAAATTGAAACTTTTATTTTTTAAGCTTGTTTGTTTACAATAATTTTGATATTGAGTTTTTTAAAAAAACTATTTTTGCTTAATCATCTCTAAATATAGTAAACATTTTATTCGCATTTAAAAAGTTATGCGGAGGTCAAAAGTACACGTAATTAATAATTCTGATTTCTTAATATGTGTTATTATTATTTAATTCACAAAATGGTCTTTTCATTATGAATTTTCCATCTAACAGCTTAATTGAAATTATAATTAAGTAAAAGCAATATAATTCACTACTCAAAAGAAACTCGATGTTTTTACCAACTGTTCATAGAGAAAAAAAATGATGTTTTTATAACCTTCATATGCTTGACTCGAAACTTAATGAATGAATGTACCTAGTTTATTTAATTACTATATAAATTATACAATTCAATACATATATTCTATAAAGTAATATTCATTATCGAAACTATTTATTAGTGTCTTTAGTATAATGTTTTAGTTTCTTAAATGAATACTAAAGAGTGTTTACACTACACACGCTCTTAAAGTTTATAATGTAATTAATTTAATATACATAACATCACAATTTTGGGGTAGCATTATAGCAAAGCGATTATAATTAAGAAAGACGTAAGCTTTAAACTAAATTAATTTCAATAATTATCGTAAATATACTTCAATGTGTATGTTTTGCTTTAAATTGAGTTAGTGGTCAATGAAAAGATGAATTGATTTGAATGATTAGCTTTTTAATTTTTAAATTCATAAGGAAAAAACGCTAAAAAAGTTGAATTTTGAATATAACCTACTGAATGAATTAAGGCATATTTATGGAACTAATGTTTATAAAGTGTTTTATTTTTTTATGTATTTTGAAGTAAAAAAATTATTTAAAGACAGTATATTTTATTAATTTCTTTGTTTAACAGAACTTTGATCCAAATATTTATGCAAAGGATAAAATAATATGAGACTTTTATCAAAGAGTAATGGGACTTAATTAAATGTATAATAAATTGGAAAGTAATGATGATAATTCGGAGATAATAATTTTCAAATAAATGTCTATTCTTTTAATTTCTTTTTTCCGAATATATTTGTTGGCCGAAAAAATATTTTATTAACGTTAAATAAGAGCTTTAATTTTATAATTACAAATTAGCTCTTGATCTTTCTGTCTTTTATTTTGGAAGACATGAATATAGTTTCCCAGGATTTTATCAATAGCTTGACTTTTGAAACCAAAATTGTTTAACAGACGGCATTTAAAGCTTCTTTTAGCATTTGGAAGTCTGTTTGAATTCAATTTTAGTTTTGATAATTTAAAGACAAACAAACAAATTTTTTAGTCTGAAATCGTTAAAGACTCGTCGACTGCCGAAGTTTGTTGATATCACGTGCGTTCATCACCCATATAAGAAATTGAAATTGTATAATATTCATAAGTTTCTATTTAAATAAAAAAGAGAAAGAAACTAATGATAAAGTATCAGTACCCAATAATGATTATATCGGGCTCATTTTTAGAGGCAAGCGCATACAAAAGTGATCATGACTTGCATACAATAAAAATTAAAGTTTCATAAACAAAACAGAATCTATTTTTTTACAAAGTGTTGACAGATGATGAGAAAAATCAAATAAAGAAAAATGGAGGGGGGGGGGAGGATAAAAATCCACGGTTTCTTCCTTCTGCTTAAAAAACCAGTTTTGAAAATTTAAAACATCTGCAAATTTTGCCAACAGATTACGCAGTTAAAGGATAAAAACCATTAAATAATGTTTCCAAAATAAAACTTTTTATAGCAACAATATGGTATAGGAAGAAATTAATCGTCACGTTCACTTATAAAATTGTCTGACAAGTAGAAGAAATTTTTTTTTATTGTTTTTTTTTTTTATTCTGCCGCGTGATGCTTGTTGCATATAGCTTTGAAAAACTTAGTGAGTCCATAATTCCTGTCATGCGAAGCAATACACAGTGAAACTTAAATTCATATTATTTTCCAATCTTATTCAATTAATTTTAAAACTAATCAATCATGCATGAAAGACACTTTACATGAAATTCTTAATTGCTCAATTTAAAGAACAACCATGAAGGCGTCGTAGAAATACCGTTAACCGTATCAGTATAGGAATGCTTGCCAGCTTATTTACGTTTGTATAGTTTCAGGTTTTGAGAGGAAATGAAATCAATTGTGCACCATGTACAGTGCTCAAAATGAAAGAAAAGAAAAACGGACCACCCTGAATAACTTTCAATCTAATGATCAGATTTTCACGTTCTCTTAGCTCAAGGGAGTGACCACAAACATGGTAATAATTTAGCGCAGGCGATATTTTAAGTTACGAAATCAGACGCAAAAACGCACTTTCTCTGAATAAACATACCCTTTTTTTTTTTACAGGATTCGGATTTTTGATCCCCAAAATGTAGAGGGTAGCCGCAATCTAGGAAATATGGTCCCCACAGTTTGGTCAGAAGAGTGATCCAAAGTTCGGACCTCTTAATGTTAATTTTACTTTTTGCGTATTTCGTCATATTTTGAGAACTTTTTCAAAGAATTGAAAAAATTTTGTGCACGGTCATCAAATTTGTTTATTCAAAGATAATTCCATGTAAAAAATAACCTTTAGTAAATATTTAATATTTTCTATTATTTTATTAAAGAATGGTCGAAAAAACTTTGAATCGCGAGGTAAACAGTTTTTTGCACCATTTTAATGAATAAAATTTTGCATGCAAAATACAAAATTTGAGCTATTTCGGTCGAACAGTTCCAGAGAAATTGAATTTCAAAGAAGTCAGATACTTAAAACTCGATTTCTTAGAAACTGTTCGACCAATTTTGTTCAAATTCTGTATTTTGCCATATGAAATTGCATTCTTTAAAATAATGCAGACATTTTTATACCCTACAATTCAAATTTTTGTTAATTATTTTTAAATAAAATAAAATTTCTTGCTGAAGTTATTTTTTACAAGGAATTATCTTTAAATAAGCGAATTTTATAATTGTGTGCAAAAATGTTTTAATTTGCTTAAAGAGTTCTTGAGATATAGAGAAATACGTTAAAAGTAAAATTAAGGGGCCTAAATTTTTGAGCGCTCTTCTGACCAAACTATGGGGACCATACTTTCCAGATTGCGGCTACCCCTATATTTTGAGGGTCAATAATCCGAATCCATCTGAGAAAAGTTATGTTTATTCAGAGAAAGTTCGTTTTTGTGTCTTGCGTAACTTAATATACCGTCTAATTAATTACTAATAATTAGCATATCTGTGGTAACCCTTTCGAGTCATTAAGATTTAGTCCTAGAACGAGCAAATTCTATCATTAGATCAAAAGTTATTCAGGGTGGTCCATTTATTTGGCCCACTGTACTATAAAATACAAATGAAACATAAAGCATAGTTTTTACTTACTAGTTTCTGTGCTAGTGGCGTCCTATCATCTTCAGGCAAATGCTCTTCCAAAGCTAGGACTATACAATTGGCAATGATAGTCAACAATACTGCATACTCAAATGGAGTGATTCAGAGTTAAGGTATTAACAACATCCAAATATTTGCTACTCATTTGCAGTTTAATACAATGTAACAATTTTTAAATTACGTACGTAAACAATTTAATTCAACTTTTTTTGTGAAAATAGAACAAATGTAACAGAATAAATATAAATAATTTTAATGTATATAACATATAATGTAGCATAATATATATAACATATAATGCAGCATAATGTATCTAAATATAATATAAATAAACATAATGTGTATAACATATAATGTAGCATAATATATATAGCATATAATGTAGCACAATATACCTAAATATAATATAAATAAGTATATGCAAAAATTTCAAATTTTGTATTAACTAATACTTCAAATATTTTTTTAAAATTTTTTTTACATTTACCTTATTTGTGAATGTATTTATAAAGCTATTATGGAATGTATTCAAATAGCTAGTAGTAATAGTATATATATGCCACTACTATTATCTATTCAAATCCGACAGCTATTTAAATCCGAACTATTCAAACCGAAAAACATATAGAATAAAATTTTATGCACAGTTAAACCAGTTCCATAAAGGTGTGATTTTTAAATGTTTTACATACTGATATTACACTAAAAAATATTAGTGCGAAAATTTCTTGGTTTTGTAGGAAAATCCTAAAAAAGTGCTAAAATTTTCGGAAAAAATACGAAACATAAATATTCTATAGAGATTTAAGTATATGTCAAATTAATAAAGTATTTTTACACACGTATGTGCTAAAATATTTGATGTACTCAAGTAAATTATTTAATTACTAAAGAAACAAATTAATCTCGCTCTTTTTTTACTTTGTAACAATTTACCTTCGTGCCTGATTTGAAAACGAAAATAAAAGGATACACGTGCTCGAATTGGGAAAAATAAAATATCAAGACAATGAAATTATTTATAATATACTTATAATAAGCAATTCCGTCTGCATTAGACATGTTTTTAGAACTGTTCTTAAAAGGAAACTATATGTATAAATGAGTAAATAAAGTTATTTATAAGCTAAAGATAGCTCCACACAATATTATTATGTGTTAAGCATAAAATTTTAATGATGAGAGCTTAAATTGAAGTTAAAGTTTTACCGGTACTCATACGTCAGAAATATTCTTCTAAATTAAATCATACATAGTAAGGGTTTTCATCCTTTTAAGAAATAAGGTCACATGAATAAATTCGGGAAATCCTATGAGCCGAGCATTTGATAGATAATATAGATTTGATATATTTGATATATTTTGAAAATAATGTAATATTGTCGAAAAAATTCTTTATCTGTAGGAAGATAACAGTAAGTTATCAAGTTTCATGATTTCTAGAATGCTAAAATTGTTTTAAATGAAATAAATATAGAGTAAATTAAGTTTTTAATCGAAGAGTTAGATGAAACATTATCATACTTAAATATTAAATATACATTGAAAACTACTCTTTTACAAAAACTACCAGCTACCTTAAGAAACTATAATAAAAAAAATGAGCCATGGTGGCTCAAAGGATAGAGCTCTCTCCTTCAAATGAGGTTGATCCGGGTGAGGTTTATCCCAATACTTGATCCAGGAGTTCCCCTGTCTTCTGGATTGGGTTCAAAAGTACAAGGCTGAGGAGTTAAATATAAGTAGTCGTAAACCCAAAATTGAGCCGGCTGTTCAACAACGGTTATAAAAATAAAAAAAGATAATACATTAAAAAACAACTTACATTACAAGAAGGAGGAAGTTATTAGCTCAAATTTTACATTGCAGGGAGTAATGATTGTTTTCGCTCAACCGAAGCAAAAATATTAAGTAAAACATTAATATTTGCCATTCTCCAAAGCTCCCTTTAAATACAAAACTGTCAAATATTTTCTCGTTTTTGATTTTGTGTTCTTCATTCGAATTAATTTACTATTTCGATCTCAATAAGAAACAGAACAACTTAATTCGTCAATCTTTTCTCAAGCATCAACCGAAAATTTTATTTTATTAGTTATTATCGGAAATAACGGGTATTTTAATGCTATTTTCTCTTTTATTATCGATCTTTCTTTTTAAAACGAATAATATAATTCAGTGGATTACTAAAACATCATCAGTCAGCAACTCGTGGGATATGGAATGCCTGTTGAATACCTTGATGCACATCACAGCGAATGATTAAGGCAAAGATTAGTAAATAAGAAAATAAGAAGATCTTTTTTCATCCTGAATAACTTTCACAACTATCCCGCTCATTTATCTGAATAATCAAGTTTTAAAGAGTAGTCAAATAAACTTAGACCTTCATTATCTGGCCGGTTTTGAAAATCTTTCCCTCAACGTAAAACTGCATTAACTCTAAACTGAAAGAAGAGGTTATTATGCCACTTACATGTTGTTTAAGAATCATTCGCTAAGAAAAAAATATGATAAATTCTATTAGAATATAGTGAAATTCACCGCGTTTCTCGCATTATGACAAAACATAAAAGCCCGGTAATTTTTCATAAAATGATAAAATTTGACAATTTTATTATGATACCTAAGAGCATGGCATATAAACTATTTGATTTGCTTAGTTTACTTTTCAGTTTTGTGTTTTTATTAAATGTGTAGAAATAAGAACAAAAATATTGAAAACCAGACTTTGCGGTAAACTATCACCATACAAACGGAAAAATTACCTAATGAATGGTTTAAATTCCGTATATTTTGGTTTCAATAACCAGAGTTATAGTTTTTTTAAAACCAGAAACGTCCACCAGTAAAATTACCATACAAGTATGGTAATTTTACTAGAATTTTTCTCCGCAAGTTAAGTATTAAGTATTGCAAAGTATTGTATGTATAATGTTTATAACGTGGTTTTAACACGCATTTAATGTTTTGCATTGTTCATATAGTTTGTATAAATAATGTATAGTGTTAGTAAATATTTCTGTACATATTTCGTTTTACTAATTATAATTTATAATACATTTTATTCATCATAATGAAGTTATTTATTCATAATTATTGAAATATTTCAGAGAAAAAATGTTTCTGGTTTAGATTTAATAATTAGTAAAAGAAAAAAAAAAGGATTCAATACTGAATAGAAATGCGGTGTTAGGTTTATAATTATCAAAACATAAAACGAGTCATTTTATTTGGCTATAAAGTGTCGCATTTTCATTCAGCTGTGATCGCCAATCTGAAAAGAAATATGGAGAAGAAAGCTTTATAAGAAATATGAAGCAGTGGAGAACGCTGTCCCTTTACTACGTGACATTACTGCCAATAAAAGGAAGATAAGACAGGATCAATAGATCAAAACTGCCATAATTTGTTTCCATTAACCATCGCGAGATGGCGCATGCGAAGTTAAAGAGACCCGAAGAGTTAATCTGTGTAGTAATTTGTGTCCTCAAATTACACTATTGAGAAATAATTACTTCTCGAACGACAACGAAAACTAATAATTGGAAAAGAATATCGTTGTTTGTCTTATTTCGTGAACTCATTGAGGAACAGTCTAATTGAAGGATGCATTTCCTCGATCATAAAGCCAAATTGCAAACATTCGATTACGGTATGCAAAATTTAAATGAAAGAATGCAAGGATTTCAGGAAGATAATATCCTGCTTTCTTTGTTTTTGTATCAGTAGAGAATTTTGTAAGAGACAAACGATGAGTTGAAAACTTGCTTCCGTTTCCTGTTTTCCGTTATTTGTAAAATGTTTGGCAAATTTATTCGCAGTTCTTGAAACGCAATTACTGCTCTCGCATTCTCCTCTTACTTGACTAAGCAACTAATTTAAAATCGGAAAAAATATCATAATTTGGTGCATTAATTGTTTATTAAATGCATATTTTAGAAAGATCCAATAAATCTAAAACGGTAATGTAAAATAAATCTTAAATGTGGATAAATAAATTTATTCGATTATATGTCAAAGCTAAGATAAAACATTTTGAAACAAATTTTGCATTGATTATACACAGAGTTATCAAAAATACTTTTGTAATTATTCATAATTTAGAAGCCTAGAATTTCGTCTCCATGGATGTCACATAAGTGTAGTTAGTTTTATTGGAAAAAAAAACACGTGTATGATGTACAAATGTACACAAATTTTATGTACTTACATAAAGTTTTATAACAAAGTTTACGACCATTCCTATTAACTCTTTCATACTTGAGTTGTCATCACAGCATCAAATATATATATATCTATATATTATATATATTTGTCTTGTTTACGAAGAATAAAGACCTTATTTACCTTAAATTTTTCAGTTCCTGGATTAAATTTTGATATATGCGTTTTTATGGTAGAATAATAAAAGTTGTTTATTCCAATAGTTTGTTTTTATATGACCCTTTTTCGTTTTTTCATCAATATGATATAAAAAAATATTTATACTAAATAAGACTTCACATTCATTAGGAAATAATTTCAATTAACGGCCTCTGGAACAGTTTAAAATTGCATGTGAATTTCAGTTTAATTAAATGAACGCATTTAATTTTGCAAGTTATTTTTTGAATAATCATTTGTCAAGTATGCTAGGCTTTAAATGCAAATGGAAAATATAAACGTGAGAAACTTAAGTATTTATGTCTACCCGTTTATTTAAATAACATTAAATTACTTAATAAACATTACAGTAAACTAATTACCAGGCCTGCTTTGACATACTTTCCTTTGAATGTGGTTTTGTGCATTCAAATAAGTTTTCTAATGCGATTACTTCAGCTGAATAACAGTTCAATGCTCAGCTAAATCCTAATTAAATTCATTCGTAATGATTAAGAGCAGTGGTTTTCAACAGGCGTTCCGTAGAGCCAAAGAATTTCGAGAGTTATGACTCTTTTTTAAACCTGTAATGATATTTGAAGCCTTTAATTATATTTAGATATCATCAGAAATCCATAATTTATTTGATATTTTGAATGTTTTTAGGAAATTATTTAAGTAAAATGCCAGCGAAAAAAGAAATAGAATTATTTTTTCAAAACACAATTTTTCTCGCAGCAAAAAAAATAAATAAATATTAAATTA